ACTGAAAAGAAATGGGGCCAGGGAGATGGCTCAGTGGAATAAGCACTTCCCTGGCAAGTGCAAGGGCCTGAGTTCTGAGTTCAATCCCCAGTTCTATAAAAAAAAAAAAAAAAAAGGGTATGAAAAAAAGAAGGGAATGAAGATGTGGTACTTTTTGGCTCAGACCTCTCTTAATCCTAAAGTGTAAATAAACAGGTTAGAAACAGTTGATTCCAACACCAAACCACTCTCCTCAAAAGGGAAAAAGAAAATACTTATCTCAACCTACTTTGAACATGCGAGGTGCCACATGAGTGTCCCTTCCAGACCACATCTGCTTAATGAGCTCTGCATAGGCCTCTGCAATCTCCCCTTTCATGCCCAGAGGGTTGTCTCTGTTGATTTCGGCCTCATACTCATCTTTGAGAAAGTAGTCAGTCAGTGGTGCGGTGTTGCTCAAGCACTGAAACAGAAACCCATCACTAAGCAAACAAGGAGACAAGAAAAATCAGGCTCTAAAAGGCTGCTGAGGTTCCAACCTAACGAAAAGTTCCCAGTAGAAAAGTACAGCCTTAGGAGACTATGCTGAGGGCCCAGCAGGGGTTGACTGACGGATACAGTCTTAGAGGAGGTAAACACTGCTTCATATACTTTTTTCACCCAGCTAACTGAAGGCAAAAGCAAAATGTATTTATTCAGCAGGAGATTGTTTTTAAGGTAATTTGTTTCACTGGAAAGGACTGGGAAATTCCAGTTTCCTCAGCAGAAAAACTATAATAAAGCCAAAAAAGAGTTAAAAGATAGGGCCGGCCAGATAGCTCAGTGGACTAAAGCACCTGCTTAGGCAGAGTGCAACAGTGGGGATTTGATTCCCCCCACCTGCATACCATGCTGACCCCGCCCCGGAGGCTGGCCCCACCCCCGAGGCACACTGAGATGGGGATTGAGACTGGGCCTGGGGGTGTGCACCTGTAATCCCTGTCCTTTGGAGGCTGCAAACAGGAGGAAAACTATGAGTCTGATCTAGGTAGTGAGACCCTGTAGACCCTGTAGTAAATACACTAAAAAAGAAAAAAAAGCCAAAGACAAATACCTTACCACAACCAAAATTATGAGGCAAAAAGTCAGGAAAATCAGCACAGAAACCATAAATAATACATGTGGGACAAGGAATATAGCTCAGTGGCACAGCGCCTATGTGGCAAGTGCAAGGTCCTGAGTTCAAATCCAGTACCCCTTGGAAAAAGTCATACATGTGTGTATAAATTTTAACTAGTTTTATTAAAAAATGAAGGCAGGTGCTGCATTTTATCAAATAAATCTTTTACATTTACTATGATAATCATACAGGTTTCTCCTTTGTCGCTGGTGATTTATTTTTCAGATATTAAACCAACCTAATTCTCTTGGCATAACTCTCATGTGGTATTTTAATATAACTTTTAATTAGTTATTACTGAATTAGATTTGCTAAAATTTTACTTAGGTCATCTGTGACTCCAGACATGAGATTTAATGGACTAAAATCTCTGGCCAGGTATGGTAGTACACATCTGTAACCCCAGCATTTGGGAGGCTGAGGCGTGAGGATTGTTGAGAGGTCAAGGTCAGCCTGAACTGCATAGTGAAATTCTGTCTCAAAAAAGACAAATAATATTTTCTACTTTAAAAAACTGTCTTATCAGATTATCGTATCAGCATATACTGCCTTAGGAAATGATTTGACAAGCTTTTCTTCTGGATGGTTAACAACCTAAGTTTGCAGACCAAAATTAGAGAAAAAGGAGGGCTACAAGGAAAACCAACGTTTTGGCCCTAGCCTTCTAAGGTCAATTAAGACTCAGGACATATGAGAACTTGTACTGTAACGTCACGTACCTCGGTAGTGTCCCAAATTTTCTGATCAAGAAGATTATGGGGCCAAAGAGGAAAGTGATCGATGACGTAGAGTGTGCCTAAGGAGAGTCACAAGGGGAGAAGACACTCTCTCAGGCTTTCACAGAGAGCACATTGGCCAAGCATTGGCCGTGACTCATCCACATGGCTGACACTGACAAATGTTCTACAATCTGAGGTACAGGATCTCAGGATAAATCCTGAGGGCATTTCACTGACCTTCTCAGACCAAAAAGCTACAACTCTTGTTGCATAGGTCCTGCTTTACCTTGGTCTTAACCATCCAGTAGAAAAGTATGAAGACGAAATATAGGAAGTAAAGCCATGTTGTTATGTTGAGCTGCTGGGGACTCAGGTCAATAATTTCTGACATTGCCAGTTAAACAGAAGACCCAATGCTATTATGGGCTACTGGACTCTTTTAGAATATTTTGCTGAGTTTACACACCTATAATATTCAATAACGGAACTTTAAAAAAATGGGGTATAACTATGAATGTCCATTTTGTATCTGTGTATTCAAAGCGGTTGGGATAGATATATAGTTGCATTCTCTTAATGAATAGAATGATTTTTTCTAATGGTGTTTGTAAGTAGGATCACAAGTCTGCATCTTGTACAGCAATTAACCGCTAAGAAGAATATATGCAGTGTATTATTTGTTGAAACTGTACTCTCGATTTGATTTGAAACTGTCTCATTGCTATATGTTTATCAATAAAACTTTGGAAAAAAAAAAAAAAAAGAAAATGATTTGACAATCTTGTCTTTTTTTTTGTGGCACCAGCTTAGGACCTTGTGCTTGACAGGCAGGCACTTAGCTGTGTATCTATCTCCCTGACCTATACTTCTTCTATTCCATGGGACTTTTTTTTTTTTTTTTTTCGGAACCAGGGATTGAACTCAGACTCTTGCGCTTGCCAGGGAAGCACTTATTCCACTGAGCCATCTCCCCGGCTCCTAAATAGAAAGATGGGGGCACGAACCGGCGACCTCGTGCTCTAGAGCCCGCGCTAGGTCGCCGCCTTCCATGGGACTTTTATAGTTGGCTTGTTTTCTTTCTTTCTTTTTTTTTTTTTTTCAGAACCAGGGATTGAACTCAGGCCCTTGTGCTTGACAGGGAAGCACTTATTCCACTGAGCCACCTCCCCGGCCCTAGGGACTTTTATAGCTGACTGATGCTAATATATTCTAAAATCTTTAAATACATTTACTAGTAAACCCATTCAAAAAAAGAATTTTTTTTTCCTTTCTGAAACAGGGTCTCCGTATGCAGTTTCAAAGTAGCCTCAAGCTCACATTGTAGCTCAGAAGCTGGTCTCTGCAACAATCCTCCTGCCTCAGCATCTGGAGTGCTGGGATTACAGGTGTGAGCCACGCTAATCTCAATCCCAGTCTCAGCATACCACAAGGGCAGGGCTGGCATGGCTCACTGCATGCCAGGGTTCAAAACCCAGATGCACTCTGCCTAAGCAGGCACTTTAGTCTACTGAACTATCTGGCTGGCCCTGAATTTTCTTCTCATTAAAGAAATTGATGGGCCAGGGATATAGCTCAGTGGCACAGCACCTGCTCGGCAAGCACCAAGTTTTGTTTGTTTTCTTTTGGCTGGCTCAGGCTGCTGTAAGGGCAGGTATGGTAAGGCATGTGGAGCTGGGGATTGAACCATGGTCCCCTGCGCCCGACTGGGTTTGCCAGAGCAGGTGCTTAAACAACTGAGCTAACCTGCAAACCCTGAGGTCCCAAGTTTGATTCCTAGAAAAAGTAAAAAATTGATTCAGTATTTAAAACCCTTATAATAAAGGAAGTTGTAAGGAGAATCACTACAAGTCCAATCTACATAATGAAACTCTGTCCTAAATTAAAAAAAAAAAAAAAAGTTTTTCTATTTTTTTCCTCTATAAGGTAGGTAAACGGGGTTTTCAAGGTGACTTGCTCATCTTATCTAAACTGTCCAATTACATAAAGGTTTTACTGTCTCTCAACAATCTTTGGGGCTGGGGAGATGGTTCAGTGGAGTAAGTGGTTCCCTGGCAAGTGTAAGAGCCTGAGTTCAATCCCCAGTTCCACAAAAAAAAAAAAGAACAATCTTTGTAAATGTTAGATTATAGTGGGCCAGGAATATAGCTCAGCAGCACAGCACCTGCCTGGCAAGCACAAAGTCTTGAGTGCAATTCCTAGTATCAAAGAAAAGCACAAAAGATTATAGTTTCTTTCTTTATTCTTGCCATTTGTCTTTCTCCCTATGAGTCTTCTCAGCAAATTATTAGGGTTTTTTTTTTTTCAAAGAATTACATTTATAGCCAGATGTGGTGGTAGTACAAACCTACAATTCCAGCAAGATTACACACTAGAGCCAGAACCAGGTTATAACTTTAGTGACTGACTTAATGAGACCTTCTCTCAAAAAAAAAAAAAAAAAAAAAAAAAAAAAATGGGTATAGAGATGCTTACCTGTAATTCCAGCAATGGAGAGGCTGAGGCAAGACTGCCATGAGCTGAAGGCCAGCTGGGCTGCACTGTGAGTTCAGGGACAGCAAAAGCTACATACTACATAGTAATACCTTATCTCAAAAAACAAAACAAAGGGGCCGGCCTGATAGCTCAGCAAATTAAAGTACCTATTTAGGCACACGCATGGGTTTGGGGTTCAATCCCCAACCTGGTATGCCAGCCCCACCCCCAGGGCATGCTGAGATGGCGAATGAGACTGGGCGTGATAGCACACACCTGTAATCCCAGCACCTGGAAGGCTGAAAAATAGGAGGATCACTACAAGTCTGATCTCTATAGAGAGATCCTGTAGACCATGTACTAAATAATTTTTTTAAAAAGTAAAAAACAGGGCCAGGGAGATGGCTCAGTAGAATAAGTGCTTGCCTGGCAAGTGCAAGGGCCTGAGTTCAATCCCTGGTTCTGTCAAAAAAAAAAAAGTAAAAAACAGGAAAACAAAGATGAAGACCCTTGATTCAATTCTTAGTACTGGGGAAAAACAAACAAACAAATGTTTGAACCAAGTAAAGCAGAAGACAACTGTAACAGGACTAAGTACAAGCCCAGCTGGGCAACTTGTGAGATCCTTTCTCAAAAGAAAAAAAGCAACAGTCTGGGGATGTACTCAACACAAAGGACCAAAGTTCAATCCTCAGTATAAGAAAAGAAAAAGAAATTTCAAGTGGTTTGTGTGATCCTGAGTTCAAGGCCTACAACTGACCAAAAAGCCCAACCCCATCTCAAAATAAAAAAGTACTGAGTATACCTGCACACCACAGCTCAGGTGAGCTTCCACAATAGCAGCACCCTCCATGGTACTGCTACTACACAGAGTACCATGAAAACAGTGTGTCCTCACTCCATAGATAGAACACACTACTTTCACATCTGGACCTTTCTGGACATACATCATTTTCTTTCTTTAAAAAAAAAAAGTATATAGTACACGGTCTACAGGGTCTTACTACACAAATCGGACTCATAGTGATCCTCCTGTTTTCAGCCCCCAGCACTGGGATTACAGGGTCTTACTACACAAATTGAACTCACAATGATGCTCCTGTTTTCAGCCACCAGCACTGGGATTACAGGCGCATGCCACCATGCCCAGTCTCAATCACAGTCTCAGGAAGCCCTGGGGGCGGGGCCAACACTGCATGGAATGCTGGGGATCAAACTCTGACCACTGTGCTCTGCCAAAGCAGGCGCTTTAATCCACTGACTATCTGGCCGGTCCATGCTTCGTTTTCTTCCTCCCTTGGCTGATTTTAATATGTATCTTTTTGGTATAATATACTGTTATCAGGAGGCTTATGGCTTTAGATGAGTCCTGTTAGCAAAGCATGAAAACTGAATGTGGGTCTAGGGTCATGGTTCAGGTATTCTGAGTTTCACCTCTCCATAGACCAACCAGAAAAGTATTCCAATACTTTCTAGGGCGATCATACCATAACAGTAAACAAAATTCAAAAGTATTTTTACTGGGGCCAGGGAGACTGCTCAGTAGAATAAGGCCTTGGGTTCAATCCCCGGTTCTGAAAAAAAAAA